TTTACTGGGCACTTCTATTTGACGATATATATAAATATATATATATATAATTACCGATCGGGCCAGCTGACGATGAAGGGGCCGCCCGATCGAATGTATACTATGGGAGGAGGCGATGGAGGATGCAGGATGCATCCACGTAGATTAGGAAGATGATCGGGCCAGCTGACGATGAAGAGGCCGCCCGATCATCCAAGATATGATGACATCAGCAGTCGGGAGACTGCTAATTTTTCGGAATCCCCTGCATATCACAAATGTGATAACCTCAGATCCGTACCGCGCGGCTTGCCGTATCCCTGAGGAAAAATCCCGCGGAAGCCCCGAAGTACGGATGCGGATAGAAAGGGGTTTTTCTTTCTTTTTGCTTTTGTTTTCTTTTTGAAACGGCTTTTTCATTTTGTTTGGTTAATAACTCCCGCGGGTGAATAGCGGCCGCGGTATGAAATCCAAGAAACGGGGGCGGTTGGGACTTTTTGAATTTTTGCGCGCGCGCCCAAGCTCCGATTTCTTCGCGCGTCTCGCATCCCCGTTTCTTGCTTTGCATCCTCGCGCCATCTTCCCTTCTTGCTGCGCGCATTTTCCCCATGCAGGACTCTTCGTCTCCCCCTACGCCCAGCTTGATCCTTACCCCGTCTTCCTCCGCGAAGCGATTGGCTGCATAGTTGGGATGCTCGGATCAATGTGGAAAGCGGGAAACCGCGCACCACTGGGACGAACACCCCAATCACGTAACCATGCAATCCCACGGGTCGAACCCGCTAACTCCCCACCTCTCTCTCCTATCCTGCTCATCTACACCCTGCGCTGCCCGCACCTCGCGCTGTTAACCCGCCGCCTCCCGCGCTATAAATTTGCGCAACCCTCTCCTCTCCTCCTCTTTGATCTCGGTTGCAATGCTGCACGAGCTATGCGCGAGAGTCCGCGGCGCCGAACAGGCTCGACAAGCCCAAGGACGGGCGGAGTGACGGCGTGGGGTGGACCCCGCGGTAGTCTCGGGGCGAAGCAGTCGGAGGGACCGAGCAGTGGTGGGGATTGGACGCCGGCCGCGGCAGGGCCTTGTGGCTATGGTGGTCGGTGGTCTTGGGAAGTTTTGAAGGCTGCGCCTGGGGGCAGCAGTTAATTGAAATTTTTCTGTACAAAAAGGACTCGCTTTTATCTCCATTGCTGCTTTGTCCATGCATGTCGTGGGTGTGAAGCCCCGAGCGATGGGAGTTGGTTATGCGCATGAGTGACGTCGAAGGTTCATGGATGATTAGATGTCCTGTCAAGGGTTGTCGATTGCATGCATGTATGTGTGTATGTACTCGTCCGGGTGGGGATGGGGAAACTGAACTGGGGGACCGTCTGCTTAGGAGTATGAGTGTGTTGATCCGGTTGTTCCCCTCCCCTCCGCGGCCTTTCCTGCGGTCTTGGCGTAACTCTCTCTCTCTTTCTCCCTTTTTGATCGCCTTCCTTTTGAACTAACAGTCATCGCCTTTTAGAGCTTCTCGTCCTCATACCGGTGACGTTAACCGCCTGCGTCCGCGCGGACGGTCGACGCCCCCGCCAAGGGGAGAAAGCTTAGATTTCGTCATCCTCCCCCTACGCACCCACTTTCGAGAGAGAAGAGTTGCGACGATTGTTGCATGGATTCGGTGTTGGTCYGGATGACCGGRAACGCGGGATCTTGCCCGTGTTCATCACGTACCTCCAATCGTCTCATCTCGCTACCGACCTTCCCCATCGCAGATGACGACAGCGTCTATTGCGATGCGGACGTACGGCGCGCGCTGAGGCGGACGGAGCAAGTGTGTTGGCAAGACCCGCCTCGAGCTTGTGAGATAAGGGGTAACGGGTTTGTTTTGATTGATCGGTTTGATTCCCCGACTCTAATATTGCCTTATACGGGTTTGACGGTGTTGCCCTGGTCGGCCGCTCACAGCGCGTGGCAGCCGCAGTTTGATTGTCGCTGGTGTCGCCAGGGGGACTCGTGTTCGTGGCGACGGCTGGTCCTGGGTTACGAGGGAGCGACACGTTTCCCCGAGCTTTCCCGTAGTGCGGGGGCGCTGCCCGCGCAATTTCGAATTCAGATGCTGACGAGTCCTCCCGCCGCTTTACCCTCCCGGAAACTTTTGCGCAGACTCTGTGAGTCCGACGCCGAGGCCTGAAGGCCTCGAACCAACCACCTCCACAGCAAAGACCCGAGGGTTCGGCCACTTTGTGAGGTCGATGATGAGGCCTGAAAGCTTCGAACCCACCTCCTATCCCCCAAACCCCTGACGGCCGAAGTTTTGTCTCCCGCCGCCATGGCCCTCTCCCCTTGAGGCCTTTTTCCGTCCCGATGCATGACGGCAGTTCATTTTTGCGGAAACCTTTTTGATTTTATCGTTTTGGAGTGATCCGACCCCCACGGGACTTCGCGGCGACAGTTAAACTCCGGGGAAAACCTCTGGCACGAAACGAGGGTCTCCCGTTCCGTCCGGGAGACTCAACCCTTACGGCCAAAAATCCTCGGCCACGCCCCTCCTAAAACTTCGATCGGCGACCCCGTACGGGACACCGCGAGGGGGCGTGAGGTTGCGTATCACAAGCGCACCCCCTATCCCACTATTCTACCTCAGTGTGACCAGCACTTAGGACCATTGCTCTACCAACGGGCAGGCAACTTGGACCGAACAACAGTGATAGGCACCAGGGCTGATAGATTGCCCAGCTATGGTGGAAGTGGAATCGGAGGAATCTTGTCGAACGGGAACTTCGGACGCCAAGCCCAGATAATGAACTACAGGCCCCATATATATATAGCCACCAGACAGTTCTATACGAATGTCAGTAGGAACTCCACCCAATGGCACCCTATCCAACCTACCTGAACCTACTGCGGGCACTAGACCCCACCAGTGACTAGCTCCCCAACCTGTTTTTTGTTTATATATTCTGTGAATCTATGTAGACAGTATCATGTGTGGAAAATTGTGTATGTAACCTGTAAGCGATATATAATTTGCAAGGTATGTGTGTATGCCCGGAAGCTATGTGTACTCTGTGAACCATGTATAGAGGAGAGAATGAGACCAGCTGGACAAGGAACCCCTCCCAGGACCGAACCAAGCTTGAACCCGTGACCTTGTAACATGTAATCCAAGACTCTACCGTATGACCAACTACCGGAAATGGAATGATCGTGTGATATGCCAGATTGGGGAGAACATCAGAACACCCGAGACCAACACCCCAAGCAAAACCTGTGAAACCCACAAGGGCCACAACCAACATACAACACCGTGGACTACCCTTAAGTGGTGCGCATGCAGTGTCTGTTATTTATAGTACCATGCGTCAGCCCAAGGGGATGTGTGTCCAGCCGTGCGTCAATCTAACGCCCTGCCGGTATCCATGCGCAAGGCTGCGGGGTTTTAAACCCGCAACCTTATACCACAATGCGCATTTCCAACCGGTGCTCTAACCATTGAGCTACATCAATTGCGGTATTCATGGTAATCTGTATGTTTGATTCTAACGGTATTCACGGTAATCTGTACGTTTGATTCCGATAAGCGAATTATGGACACATGGCGGAGCATACCCTGCGGGCGTTCGGAGGTTCGGATTTTCCCCTGGTCCCCCCCAAAACAACAAAGACCAGAGGAAAAGTGGGACCAACTAATGATGGACCATTATTGGGTGGAGTTCTGTCATGTGAGAGAAGGTTAACTGACCCCCTAATTTTCACCCTCATTTATAAGAAAACCAAAGGGTCATTTTAACCATACTTTACACCAATCTGTAGAGTGCACTTCTTACTAACATATTGTAAAAACAAAACCGAAAAAAATAAAAATAAAACATATAAAACAGCAAGCCAAAAGTGCACTTTCATGAAATTTTACCAACATTTCAATTTGTCAATTTTCACAATTTTCGCCACTGCCCAAAACAACCATCTCCAGGAACCCAACAAACACCAAACTTGGCACATACAGACCTTGACCAAAAACAAAACAGGCCAAAAAAAAAAAACCAAAAAAAAAAAAACATGACCCCACTACACTATTCAGGGTGGTAAAGGTTACCCTATGGGTAAAAAGTGAGGGTACCTGTTAACAAGCGTTCTGTGCATGTGATTCTTTTGGCCAGGTGGTGGGGACAATCAAATTAGGGGTGAAAAGTGAGCGTACCTGTTAACAAGCGTTCTGTGCATGTGATTCTTTTGGCCAGGTGGTGGGGACAATCAGATTCCGTCGGGAGGTGGCCATATGCCTGACATTTAAACCACCAGTACCTC